ACTACCATCCTAACTGCTGTATGAGATATTGTGATAACCACACATGTCAAATTAATAACTTACTTTTTTGAAGTCGGTTTAAGAGCACAATGCAACAGTTACTTGTCATTCCTTGTAAGTCGTGAATGCGGATTTAGGTAACGATGAATATGTAGGACGATTACGAGGTGATAGACACAACAAATTTGAGACAGGCAAAGTAACTCACATAATGTAACTCACATAATAGGCTGGTGATGATAATAAATACTATTATCATCACCAGTCTATAAATTCCCCGCTGCTGGGGCTCAAACCTTCCCTCTGGATGAAATAGAATTAAATCGAAAAAAGGAATTTATTATTTTTTTCTATAATAAAAGAGTATAAGAAATGAACAAAAGTTAAATTTAAGACATCCTCATTATCGATTTATTTTTAAATTCAGTTTTTATATGAGTCATGATTTGATGTGGTTATCTCATTTTCAATTACAGCTTATTTGGACGTTTAAGTTTAAGCTATCTCACATGATTATATATTATATCTAAGCTGCTTACAATTACAATAGTCCAAGAATAAATGGCTTTAATAAAAGGAGTAGACTAAGAACATGTGTTGAAGTTGGAGTCAGTTTCACTGAAGCTCATGAATATAAATACAGCCTCACGTGGCTTACACCTGATTGAGTAACCTTCAAGAGGACAGTTTGACAGATGAAGCTATGTAGATCAGTTTTGTATTTGTTTTGCCGCAGAGTGGTGGTGGGCGGGCGCATGCGTGGGCGCAGCTGTGTTGTTGTGTGCCGCCGGCGCGCTGGCTCGACCGCACCTACGCCGCCGGTTCGCCGCAGCCGCTGCCGCCAACCCCGTGAGTAACCAATCAAATAATCATCGTCATCCTTTATCTAACAGCAAAACAGACAGAAAGAGCTTGGCTAGAACGTCAAAATTTTGGACTTCAGGCAATCCGACCGAGTCCACGATTTTGTCTTTGGGATTGTCAAAGTTTATTAATTATTGCTCTTTACAATGCACTGTCCCGCAGCTTATTGTGTAAGGGTGCGTCGTACCACACAGTTTATTTCATCCTGGGTTCCCGTTTCCAAACTTTTTAATGATCTTTAACATAATTTCTTTTTTATTATTCATTCTTCTTAATTTGAAATTTTGAGTAACGCTATATGCTCTTTTTGAATGTCAGTTCGTGAAAATTCATCCAGTGAAAACATTGCATCAATTTCTGATACAAAAAGTGTTAGAATTTATCAAAATACAGTTATTATTACTAGTTCTGTTATTTAAACGTATTACAAATCTGTAAAATAAATATATCGTATTACTAAAGTTCTATTAGTATCAAAATTTTTATTTACACTTTCATTTACCTAAACACCGCACCCACCACATGAAGCCTTAAAGGATATGCAGAGTGAACTGACTGCCAAGTAGTTCGGTCTTTATATAGGTGTCTTACGGATCGATAACATTTATAACTATTTTCATTTATGCTGCCGTACAAGCTGGTATTTTATTGTTTCTGATATCACCATCCACTAACACGTGACTTTGATCGTGAAATTTGTTTGTCTTCGCCGCTGCCGACTTTAGCATACTTCCACTGTCGTCTAAAAGTTTCGTCATTATTTCGTCCGGCATTCTTTCTAAATGTCGGTTATCATCCTATTAAAGTCCCCTACAGACCTTTCCTGTGAATAGAAACAATAGGGATTACTGGCCTCGATCAATCACCTGAATGCTCTAAACACATGTCACCAAGTATTTTTCAATACACAAATGGTTCAAACATTGGATGTTTATGAAATATATACCTATATAAATAAAAAAGAAAAGCAAATTATCATCAAAAAGAAGCTTATTGACCTGCTCATAAGTTACTTACCAAAAAAACAAGAATCTGATATAATATAATAGATAGATATATTATAATAGAAACCTTTATTCAAAAACTTTTATATTCATAAACTTTCCTTGTCTTAATAGACTACAGAATCGACTTATTAGCATGTACAGACATTTACGTCCCTACCATAAAAGTGACAACGAAAGACGAACTTATCGTTATTTCCTTAGAGATCCTAAAACTAACGTCCTAAGAAAAAATAAACAGATAAAAAATATTTAAACAATTGTTTGCAATATCCTGGTACAGATACGACACAGAACAAGCGCTGTTGTTTACGTCCTTAAAATGACTAGACTGCTCTTGAAATAACCTCTTTATTAAAATCATACGTTCAACTGAAATCTCAAGGCTTATAACCGTTCAGAAATATTGTAGAAACATACTTGAATACATAATTCATTCCAGACGCAAAGGTGAAACGGTTGGATTTCTCAAGTATCTACTTTTCTTTATGATGAATATTAATAATTTAAACGTTTTTCATTAACTGCAAAGCTATACAAAAAATATAGATCATTAATTACCTCGAATATTAACAATTATAAGTATCGTTACATTTGGTTTGGGATATTTTTGTATACTGCAAAATCAACACAATTAACGACAAAATTATTCTTAGTTTTTTTAGAGGCTCTTGGGTCGATATCATCATTATCTTTATCAACTTCATCAGCGCATAAATACCGTGGTATTATTTAGACAGCGCCGGATTAGGCTATAATCAAAATAAGAAATTGCATCGAATCTTGGGAGGTTGTACTCTAAATTATGTAGGCATACTCTATAATCTGTAACACTACTAGAGGACGCTAAAATACTCTTTTTTTACTATGTTTATTATGCTAGTAGTACATATGATACAAACGTTTATAATGTTGAATAAATTATACTTTTTTCTATTTTTATTTTTAAATTTGATTATACTCTATTTCATCTTTTTCTTTTAGGCACATAAATAGTATTAAAAACTATTGCTACCTTAAAAGTAAATCTTGTACTTCGCGTATCGCTTTTGACCTTTATACATATGTATCTCGTTTTATTATTGTATTACATATGTATTTTGTTAAACATCGATACTAGTTTACTTGTAGATGGGTTGGTGCATATTACTTAGGACATCAAGTAGTCTTAATCTAACGCTCAGTGTTTTCTGTCCACAGAGCTTCTCTATGGATAGAGTCATATTGGGGAGAACAAGCAATAATAACCCACCAAATAAAACATATCTTCTAAATCCAACTAATATTATAAACGCAAAAGAAACTCTGCCCGTCTTCTGTTACGCTTTTGTTCCTAAACTACTGAAAAGATTTTAATGAAAATTGGTACATAGAGTCAACCTTAAGAAAGGACGTTTTATTAGAAAAATGTGGTACAAATATGGAATAAAAATTTGTGAGAAGTTCGTCTTTGTCAAAGTTAAAATCATATGACTTTTTATTTAGGCACTTTGACAGGATATGATTAAATATTTGTTAAAGCGTTTTTTAAATTTTTGCGCAAAGTAATAAATAAAATTATATAAACCGATGACTTTGAAGTAAAACAACGCATTATATTATTCGGTAACATCTCACAAAGTTATTAAAAAAAAAACCAGAGGCAGATTTCACCGAAATAAGATAATTAGATTATACGCGGCCTAATAACAAAAGTACCTACAAATATCGTCCGATAATCGTGTATTATGCTTTAAATAAGACCTCCAGACTCAAATTAAAGGACTTCTAATAATATCGATTCCTACGACAGACTGGACTCTCAACTATAATATAGTGAAACTCTGCTGTTTACTTAATGTAACCAAGCATAAACTGAGTTATAATAAGCATATATTTTGATTAATAATTCAAATTAATTAGTTTTTTATTACAATTAATTATTTATTGTTTGATAATAATTATTTTTTTAAAGATAATGTCTACTTAGTTATTAAGAGATAATTGTATAAGACCAAATTTTCCAAACAATGCTTAATGTAAAAACGGAAAACAATAAAATTCTTTCAAAAATCACAGGTATTCTTTTTTTATTGTAGCACCTTAAAAACCATTATTTTGGGAACGGTCGCGAGGAAAATATATTGCCGGCACCTATCCTAAAGCATTTGATAGCTTGACCCCATTCGCAGTCTAGATTAGTCAAATCCTGGTCCAAGGAATAAAAAATGCATTTTAAAACCTCTATCCAGGTCAATGATCTTTTACAGTGGGTGTTGTGAAAAATTTAAAGTTCGAAGGACTCATTGATTACCAATTGTGCTGTACACTTATACTATAAAAGGAGACTACCGTTTTCCATATAAGTCTGTGCATCCACTTATCTTCTGTAGGTATACTGACGATAACATTGAAAAACACCGTATAACCTTCAACGTGACATTTAACTTTCAGGTCCGAGAGAATAAAAAATAATAATCATTGTTTTGTTACTAATGCAGCAACAATTATGTATCAATAAATAAATCAATACGATGTTCATTATGTAGTACCAAACAATCTCTACCTTTAGAAGCGTTTGACATGTAAATATTGACACTAACGACAATAATTATTTTTTATTTACATTATGAAAATTGAGAAATTACACATATTTAATTATTTATAATCTGTATATTTTACAGTTAAGCGATTTTGGACATTATCTAATGTAAGGTCGTGGGAATTGTTTTAACTTACTCCAACTGGTTACGTACGTACGACTCTATGGCTACAACTCGATCATTGAGCAATGCTTACCGTCTCGTCTCACGAGCCGACAAACGCGTCATCGCTCACTATTACAATTAGGTGCGCATACATATTATAACGCAGACGACGACGACGACGGTGGCAGCAATCGAGCTCGTTTTGCGTGTGTGCCGTCTCATATGTATGTACGTTTACACGTGCCGTACACTCACTAAGATCTAACTAAAGTCACACTCACTCACCACATCGTATCGTCTCGTCGTTCGTACCTACCGGATCGAAGTACCGATTGAGCACACAGAGGTACCTAGACAGATTGTTTGTATGTATTGAACAACGATACACGGTGTGATGTCTGTGTGCGCCGACATCGGGACAGCCGGTGCACCGCCCGCCCGCCTCCGTCCTCCCCGCTACGCGACTGCGAACACCGCGCCGCGTCCGCGTCATTGAACAACAAGACTCGCTCGATGGCAGGCGTTTTCCTGCCAATATGAAAACAGTTAAGCAACTCTATCATAAAATACGCGATAGTGGAATTTCTATGTTATTCTTATTTTATAAATAATTTATTTTTATAGTGTTATTACATTGAAAATCATATTTTTATTTGTTAGTGAATGAAACCTAGATAATTATTGTAAAACGGGTGTTGTATTCTCCGTACAGTGCTCTGTGATTGTTTTGTTTAAATATTTTAAACTTCGGTAAAAAAAATACGTTTATCAGTGATAGTGTGGGTTAACAATGAAGTTATAATGCAATCGAGTGATCATCGTATTTACTAGCTACTCGTCGACTGAGGTGTTTTTGGATTCATTGACACAACCAACTCTACACTGTCATCTATAGGTGGAAAACCTACAAGAATTGTGGACGACACTGATTCAAATAGTAAGTAAATATCTAACTAGAGCACACTCTGAAATGTGTGATATAATTACAGACTTTCTGTCTGGGTTGTTTATTTCAATCATCACGTAATAATGTAGAGCAATCAATATTATTCTGCATGTATACTTGCTTATAAGTATAGTGTTTTTAAATAAATTTGCTTGGAAATCGTTAAAAAGTAGCATGATAATATAAAATATAAAAGAAGGCGAGTGAGGCCCAAGGCAGCTCGGATGGCCGCGAGACGGCGGGAGCGTGCCAAGTGATAAGAGGCGCGCCGATAGCAACGTCACACCCAGACGTTGTTTGTGTGAATTTAAATAAATTTTCATGACAGACAGTTCCGTAATCACCTCTCGCTATATCACAATGGTCACAAATCCAAGAAAACAATATTCTTTATGTTCTCTATAAACTGTAATATTACTTTAACATTAAATGAAATAACATTACGAGAATATTCTTTTTTTTTATATAAGTTACATAATTGTTTGATTTATCAACGGTTTCTAGAAAAGCGATGTCAAATTTAAAATATAATGCAATTTCAGTTTAAATAATATAGAAAAACCAACAAATAAACTTAAAATAAGAATGTCGTGAAATAAGTAATGATGTTTTTATGTCTCAACTAAAAAATAAGATAATTTCTAACTGTGAATTACGCCTATTTTACGATTTAGGTATTTTAAGAATTCTCACAAATCAATTTCGATGAACAATCGGTGATTTCGTCAAAGAATAATGTTCGAAAATTCTTAATCGAAAATATGCATTGAATTGCAAGTCGTTTACAAGGTCCACGAAAAGATAACGTGATGCAAATACGATCACTCATCAACCAACACATTTGCGTAGCTACAAAAGAATAAATAATTCTTAATATAACCATTTTTCATGAAATTAAACTTAATAAATGAATGAAACCTAAAGTTCCTAGACTTGCAAGAATACAAAAAAATTAGCTTCAAAATCTGTTAGAAGAAGATAACAGATTTTTTAATTAATGTATATGCAAAATATATTGGTGTTATGTCCCGTTGACATTAATTCAAAATGAAATCAATAAATTTCAAATTGTGTAACTTGCACAGCAGCACAAGTAACCAGCGAATTTATTTTCGCCTTTTAGTAAGCATTTGAGGCATTAATAAAATGTACTATCATCATAATAAGAGCACTGTACTGTTTTATCTTTAGTGTTATATCTAGGATTTTTAACCTGTGTAGCCATACTGTATAATAATATTTGTGACATAAATTATCCAACCCCTGCGAAATAAAAATGTAATTATACTCGTACGACTGCTTTTTCACATGAATCAATTTTATTCAATTGATAATTTTGTGTACTATAAATCTATGTGTCTGGCATTATTTATTTCTCATTATAATATTTAAACTGCTAGTTATTTAACCTGTTTGTATTTAAGTTGTTTTCTAAATACTAACTTATAAGATAAACTAACTTTTATAACTTAACATAGCTTTTTGAATAATAGAATATACTATTGTATCTATTATTTTTTCTTTGGACATCGAAATTGTCTACTAAATTATAAACTATAGTTTATAAGTTAAAAACTTCAACGTTATATCAAAAAAATCAGAGTATGGGAAGAGTTCTTTAAGGACGTATATTTAGACTAATATTATTCTCAACATGACTAAAATCAGAATAATAATTTATTCATGCTGGAAATTTTGCTAGACATTAAACAATCTACTATAATTCAATGTATAATAATAATATGCATATTGAGAAATATAAGCTAATGCCATATTCTGATGACAACTATGACTTGCCCAAAGTTATAATAATTTTATTATTCTGACAAATCAACAAAAGCATATCAAACATAAAAAAGAGAATCAAAGACTTTAGCAAAATTCTTATTACCATTATAAAACATACAAATCAGCATCAAAAATTCTTATTACCATTATAAAATCAGCATCAAAAATCATAATTAGCTTTAAAATATGATTATTCAATTTGCAAATTTAAATACGAAACCTGCTTTTTAAAGTACATTTAATAGTATTAAGGGATACCGTAGATATTTAACGAATTCGAACTGTATTTTTAAGGTAACAACTCCCGGTTAGCTTAGTATAACAAGGGATGGTGTGGGTAGCAAAGGAAATTAATGCATTGGTGCGAATATACTAAATATATACTTACAAAGCCTTGTAAAATACAATTTACATTGACGACATGCTGATTACCTACATTTGCACTGTATTGAAGATATTGATAACGATAACCCAATCTCTAATCTTTAGTCTTTCACACTTCCGTTGATATGCTAAATTGTTATCGTGTGTCCGTCATTAGTGGTGGCTATACTAATAAATTCATCTTTCCTTCAAATGTCTAGAAACACCAGACGTGTATTTTAGCAACATCGTCATTATTAGTCTCATTATATTCATGTTAAACTCTGTGATAATTAATTTAAAGGCATACAACACATTTATTAACCCAAAGTAAAAACTTTACTAAGACTAAATTACAGTAAAGTTAATAGTATTACACAGGCGTATTGTTCTGTTGGGGAATTCGCTTTGTTCTGAATTAAATAACAAATTATTCATTTTATTAGGAAAAAAAAATCTTAAACTAAATTAACATACGAGAAGTATAATAGTAACCGTTTTGAACTAAACGTTACATGTTATAATTATAATCTTTAATCATTTAGAAACCAATGTTTTACCATCGCTTTATGTGTATGTATTAGGTTGATTGAGTTGTTTTCGTTTAACTTCACGCTTTAATCTCATCAGTTGGGAGTAAAGATCCGAAATCGATGATTCTGCCCTTCTGTAAAAGCTCATACATATTAATCACTGTCCTGCAGTGTTAATCTGTTATAAAAAAACGCATCGCTGTCATAGTATAGTGGTTCAACCAAATAAAACCTCCTTCAACAGCCAAACCCATGCACCTTATTGCGAGTTAGGTACCACACTTTACCATAGTGAGTAAAGTGTGACCAATATCTTTTTCGAATGTCCAATTTCATAGTTTCAATAAAAATCTTTGTTACCTTAAGACCATACATAAATAAAGAACATACATAAGAATAGCAAATCAATACACGTTTCTTCAGATCCAAATATCAGGATTTTCTTAAATGGTTCATAACTAATTGTGGTCACGTCTCAACTATTGACACGCTGACTTTGCCCCCCTTTTCAAAATGGCAAAATTAGCGTCCATTTTACCCGCAACAAGGGGGACCAGAGCGAGATACATATTTGACATCTACTTATTTGAGATAAAACACTAGGCGTCACGTCATGTGTCCGAAGAAGTACGAAGCGGGGTTGGTGATCCCTTGTTTTCAAAATATTCACACAATCATGTTAGGTGCGTACAGGGAGTCATTCCTGTACGCAAACTCTACCTGACATGATTCTATCAATTTATTTCGTTATCTTCACTAATTTTGACAGAAAGAAAACAATAAATTGGAGTTGGAAACAATTTTATTTTACCATCTTATTATCGACAAATCCAGCCTGATAAAAAACCTTTTCCCCGACCTTATAAATTCATAATAAACACTAACAATTTTTAATCACTGATCTTCAATCCAGAATTAAATTCACTTAAACGTAGGTAGGACACTTGTATCCCCAGAGTGGTTTCTATGTTGGATACGATTTGTCCCATATTTTCTATGTGTTGAGTTGAGACCATTTATTAACTTGTACTCCGCTCAGAAAGGGGTCCTTTAAAATAATACAAACTTTGTCAGCATAACGAATAAGTCAGCTGGATACGTTATGACATCGTCCGAATACAAAATATAAATAAAACGATAAATTCTAAAGACTGTTGGGACTTCAGCTTGATTTTCAACCATGAGGTTTCTCATTTATTCAGCTCCCACTCAACCAAGTTTCACATGATAAATGTCTATAACGTTCAAAGTATATCAGCTTTCGTACTGACATATATCATCGTTCAACTAAATGTCGTTGGGCATAGGTCAGGTTATAAATAAATAATTTTCCGTCGAATCACAACAAACCCACGATAATTTGAGCATACCTTTGACCCGAGGAATTACTGTCTTTTAAGTAAAAGACAGAAATTCATTCTTTTAAGTAATTATTTTATGTAAAAGACAGAAATTCCTCGTGTCAAATAATTGTACACTATATGTGCCATAACTATAGATCTGTTTAATCTATGGTTATAACCATAACAAAAACGACGCTATCATGACCTTGATCTTAACCATCACACTTACTGTCTATAACGTCTTTTTGAATTAGAAATTTGAATGTCAAAAGTGAAAAATATAGATGTTATTATATGACATTCGAGATATTTTCTTATAATTATAATTTAAGATTATATATGAAAATCGTTTAGAATATCAGCGGTTTATTGGTTTTTATATTAGACATATTAAATATGAATTATAATTGTTATTAAAAAAAAAATTGTAGGAAGTTAACAGTTTCTTGAAACTATGATCGACATTGATAAAAGATAACTTTATTAAGACTAAGTTTTTATTGAAAGAATACTTGAGTATTGATATTAATAGAAACTTTTATCTCAGAAAAAAAATGTAGTATTACATGTAATATGCCACTGGAAGGCCTATTATATTTCCTCGAAAACGAAATTTCGTCTTTTTTCGTAATGCTAATACAGACTCCAAAGAAACGCATATTTTGATATTTGATAAAGATGCAAATGAAATAGGACTACAAACTACGGATAATTTACAATCTTCACAGTTATGATTTAACAAAATTATAAGAACAAATCAAAATATTCAGAATTTTCTTTCAAGGAATAATAAAATAGACCCTTCTGTGTCATATTAATTCGTACGTAATAGACAAAATTTCAACAATCTGCCAAACTATCCACATTAAATATAGCTTATCTAAAAAACTATACTTTAAAAGTACCTTCCAAAAATGTTAAGACCTTATGACACCAGATTTGTGCCTTTTTAACCTTTTCTAACACTTTCTAAATATTTTATTGGTAATGGTAAACCGTAGTATGGAGATTCAGCTACGTTCTCAGTGAAGTCTTACAGTTCATTTTTGTCAAATTGAATCTAATCAACACTGTTATACACTGCGATTGTTGTTGGACCAGATGTCTAATACCGGTTTTAGAAGAATTTTTGATGAGAGATAATCATAACAGAAACTACAAACGTAATTTCTACAAAAAATCTTTCACAGATTATCACGAACGTCTCAAAAGCAGTTTATGAAATCACTTCAATATTTTACATATAAAATCCTCACAGACGTCGAGAATGTCATACTTATTCACAATTAACAAATTATGACAATTTTAAGTTTTAAAAATTATTTTCGTCGCAAAACATATTGGGGATCATTTATTATTTAACCGTTGGTACGTGTGTAAGAGGCCAGATCAGAACTTATTTTAGTCACACTGTATACTAAATTTGCGGAAATGCCCTTACAGAATTAATGAGGCTCATCATAATATGAGTAACATTTAATGTTGTAATAATTTACTTTTATTCATAAAGATCAAGAATTTAGGCACAAGAATATTTACTAGTAATTATCGTGATTCAAATAACATGCTGGTGATATAGACTAAAGATATAGTCTATAAAATTTAATACTAAATATTCAAATATCTCAAGTGCTTGGACATATTATTCTTAGGTTGATTGATAAAACTATACACCAATTTGATCGATGTTAACAATAAACTGATTTTCACATTTATCAATTATACTTTAATACATCCAACTATTATTATAAATATTCAGTAAAAAAAATATTAATTAAAGAAGATTATGTAACTTTTAATGATATCACATTGACAATTGGTTATTGCGAGTAGAATGTAAACAGAGGAATTTAATTAAAAAGTAAAACACTTTTTCAAATAAGTTCTAATTAAAAAATTGTATTTTTAAAGCATTTATCGTTAAGAATAATTTTAATCGAGATTTTATGCCGGTTAAAATTAATAATTTATATATAACTTGAAGAAGAATAATCATGAATAAATTAGGTTTTAAAGCGATTCGTAATATGCAAAAATATTCACTAAATGTTTGAATAACAACAACATGACAATGATCTACCAAAACAAATATGTGTAATTTATATTTGGAAAGCCGATTATTTATACTAACTGTGCATCTAGTCACAATATGATAAGTTTCGTAATGTAGCTCTGTATAACTTATACTAAATAACCGGAGGTGATAATGCTATTTCAACAGCTGCATTCGTTATCGGGCACAGTTTTTAGTTTGACATAATTCTTCCGAAATAAGAACGTATCACAAAAATTAATGTTTACGATCCTGCGTCCTACAATATTGTGCATAATGAGGACCACATAAGTGAGAGCAGTGTGTTGTGATTTGCAGATGCTCTCGGTTCAAGTGCCGGGGTGCGCGGGCATGGAGCGGCTGGGCGCGCCGGGGGGACCGCGCCTGCGGCACGACCACAGACATCACCATTCTTCATTGTAAGTATCATTGTACTATTTTCTTTCGGCAGTGTAAGAAGTGTAGCTGAGGTGTGAAGTCGAGATCCTTAGAGACTTCAAGCTTCAAGTTTAAGTATAGGCGGACTGTGTCTCCCTATGAGAGACGTCCTAACGTCTAAGTCAAGATATTCTTTTTACAAATTAGCTTACTGAAAGCACACTTGAATCGTCCAACGTCATTCAGGACGTATTTTGCAAGAAACTTACCAACTTGTAATAGTAGAAAATAATAAATTAACTGAATCATTTAACCGCCAAGTTACTAACGAAATCAATATTAAATACTCGCCATAGATTCTCCAGGTTTCTCTAATTAGGTACGTTGTGTCGTGAGAGGTATCGGTCTACTAGTCTTATCATTATGTTTTTTTTATATTATCGCGGTCAGACAGTCGCGGCGGGGAACTTTGTTTTTATAATACTCATATGTAGCGATACAACTGAAATCAGTTTAGCATATAATATGTCCACATAATAAGTACAAATATCGGGTGTAATTATCTCAGTTGCTTTTATAAAATGTTACCTTTAGATTCGCTATAATTTAAGCACAATTATAACAAACACATTTGTACGATGGTTTAAATAGGAAATATTTTATTGTTTCTTTGTATGTAATGGAAAAAACTTAAATACCGCTGAAACTATTTTAAAAATTCTTTTTTCTTATAGACATAGGCTGTAATTTCATCAGGCGAAATCGCGGAAAAACTATTATATCTAAATTTAACTGTCTTAAATAAGTAGTTCTCTCCCTATTTTTTCTATAAATCAAGTACTCTTGGAATAGTACGTTAATTATTCAAAAACAAAGTACTCGTACATAGTAAAAACCATGAAACATGTGTAGAACAAATCTGAAACGATACATATAATAATAAATAGAAATAATGAGTCTGAAACTTATAAAATCCGTTAAAACTAGAAGTACCTCAAATCCTTGTATATCAGGTTTTGATTATTAATTTTGAATACGATTAAATTTTAAGGAAATTCGGTGGCATTGACTTTATAGTATCTCAAAATTATTAAAAATATTAAAAGAGCCATAAACCTATTTCAGGGAATGGGAGAAACAGCAAAGGTTGCAAGCAATGGTGGGGCGTATCCAGGAGATGGTGGAGCAAGAGACGCGCGCGAGGTCCGCCGCCGCGGCCGAACGGCTCGGCCTGCCACCCAGTATACAGTTGCCCGACGGCGAATACGGACAGGACGCTCACCTACAGTTACGAGTCCCTTATCAGGTAATACATCTACTCCAGATTTTATATAAAGACTTTAGTTTACAAAGCAGCAATTTGCAATTTGCACTAATCTAAATCTTAAAATACCATCCATATACAAGTCGCAGTATGAATTCGCCAATAATCGATATACTGCATTCCTACAAAGATGTTTACAAAATATACCTGTGACGCTCAAACAAAGATTTCGTACGGTGTGATTCCACGAAAGAATCGACTTTAACCGTCTTCGGCCGTAAAAAAGTGACGACGCAAGTCCATTATGACTGTGGGTATGACCAGTGCCCATAACGGTCGATCCGTGCTCGCTTGATTTCGATGACACTCTTTGCTATATGGTTGGGAGTACTGTTAACTCGCCTAATGCTCAAATTTTTATGATAATTGCATCTAATTTCCTATAACACTTGAATTAATTGTTTTGGGAAATAAGGTCCACTAAGGAACTATATACTCGTATTACCACTGTTACATATTAGCGGTGGCAATTACTTTAACCAGAAATAGATAGTATTATTTAATTTCTGCAATAGCTAGGTACACAGATTTTATAAACATTATGTATAAAACAATATGATACTTAAACCAAGAATGAGTTAAAAACCTTGTTATCAGAGAACGATAGAAGCTGAGAGCGACTTTAATTTATGCTATGTACCTAGTGATATTGTCGAACGCATTTTTAGTGGTAAATTACTACTTAGTTAAAAAATTATATTACTTACAGCTTTTGCGAACTTAATTTATCTCAATTATGTCTAGTTTAATTTTACTATCTTAAATTACCAAATATTTAAGCATTAATAGTCAAGTATCATTTTATTAGTCATTTTTCACCCACAATTCCATCGTTAAGTCTAACTGCTTTTATGCTTTAATAGCCACCTCAATGAATACGTAAAATAGCCAATATTTGGAAATCCCCAAAATAAATCTATAAATCCGCGAAGTATAAAGAACGGACTGCGATGCGCTCTGAAATTGTTTGTATAACGGGTAGTATAACTTTTATGGGTTGTCTCATCCATGCAGGTGATATCACTTATAATTCAAATTTTTCAATAATTGTATTGTTAATTTTTGATCTAAATAACATTTATGCAATTTATGTGAGCTCAATAAACCTCAAAAATTAATTATTTTAAAAGATTTCGATCTAATTTTGCCTTCGTCTTTCCAGCAAGCCGAGCTGACGACAAGCAGCTTTCAGCCTCCGCCCAACAAGTGCGTGAGCGACGTCCCGGAGTGGGCGGGCGCGGCGGAGGCAGGAGTGCGAGGTGCACGAGGAGGCGGCGGTGGCGGCGGCGGGGGGGCGGGCGCGGGTGCAGGCAAAAAGGACGGTCTGCTGCAGAAGGCGACGAGGTGGTGGGTGCGCATGGGCACGCGGCCCCCGCCCCCGTTCCTCGCGGCGCCCGCACCGCCCCCGTGCGTGATGGTGCCGCGCCGCGCGCCGCCCTCGCCGCCGCCGCCGCCCGACGCGTGACCGAGCCGCGCGTACCACACCACGCTTACATTCCATTGTCGGGACGATGACGCGGGCCGCGTCGGGCGGCGCGTGAGGCTGCGGCCGCGTCGCGTCCTTCGCGCCGTCTGATTTTCGCGAACGCTAAGACTGAAACGAGACGGACGATGAGCTCCGGAGTCCCCATAGGAGCGCGCCGTCGCCACGGGTGGGATCGAAACGGACGGACCCCGAACGGTCCGTCCGTATGAACTCTCGATTGTGACCCGCGACGACGTTGTACGCTATGAGAAAGGTCGGTCGACGTCGAGCCGACGTCTCGCAGTGTACTGTTTCATGTTGACGTGACCCGTTTGAAGTTTAATTTCTACCCGGCAGCTGTATATAAAGTCTGTGTTTAAACAACTTTTATATTTATTTGTAGCCGCGATGTGTGCGGAGGGATGCATATCAATACGGTAAACGCGAGGAATGTTAATTTACTATGCATAGTTAATTTACTATTTAATTGTAAATATTAGGTTAATAATGGACGAACGCCGAATCCGAGGGTCTTTTCGATTGAGTGTTTGCTACATTCCATATTTATGTTGAAATATTCTCGATACTACTCACTGTACACGCCGCTTGTCGCCTGCAATAGTGGTCCTTCTCGCCTCACTACAGAACTCACTTGTATTCCGCGGACGTATTGTCGCGTATTGTGTCGACAATAATGACTAGTGAGTGATATTAGAATGCAATTAAATAGAAATCTCATTAGGGAATAGACGTTGTTTAAATTAAAGCATCGGTTGACTTAATTTTAAATTAGGTACTTATCTATTTATTATTTATGTTATGATAAAACCACGTATTCATTTTGCAATCATTGTTGCACACAAGTGCCTAACAAATACTCTGTGATGTTTCGCAGATTCTATATTGGCGATATACCAACACAATTGTATAAGGCCTTCGCTAAACTTAACTGCCACAACAAATCACTAGTGCAACGTTGTATAATGAATACGAGGTTAAATTTAAGCACACATTGTGCATTATTTGTTGAAGGTTCACTATAAATCAGCATATATACATATATTATAATGAAAAATGCACAATGTGTGTTACCAAAGTAAAGAACTGAGAGATTATTCGTCGATAGCCACGTCTGGACTATGTTTGTATTATAGCGTCCATCATGCCATCTGATGATGTGAAAAATCGGTTCAATATTTTACAGAAATTTTATTTAATAGTGAATATCCATAAGTCACGTACCTACCTAGTCTATCATTCTAAATTATTTCAAAACTTGCAATGTTATGACGTAATTTATGGATAAATATAAAAAAAAAATATAGTGACTGACTAGAAAATAAAAAATATATATATATGTTAAACTAGAAAATTGAAATATATATATATTAAATCGCCTGCTTAAAACTACTATAATAAAATAAAGAAACTTTAAATAAAGTATCATTCCTATTTTTTTTTTCTAATTTATTTTTTAGCCATAATTTCATATTCTAGTGTTCTTTCCTCTGAAATATTTCTATTAATTACCAACTAAGGATAATGATGACGAGGATAATAATCATAATGGTTTTATTGTACCTACTGATGTATCCATATGACAAATATATTTTTTGTTAGTTTGTATAAATTGTATCTCGATATGACAATAAATAATAATGAAATGTCACATGTAGCCTCGTTTATATGTTCCGTGAAAATTTGATGTTTTTCTTTGTATAAAATTGTTATATTTTAAGCAAATTAAGTGTCCAGACGAGGCTATTCATGCCAATATTAGGACTGAACTATGCCATTCATTGTTCGAAGTATAGAATTTATATAATTTGAAAATATTATAAAGAGTCAATTTTTTACAGAATAATAATACTGCTCCATCCAACTGTAGGCAGATTTGTGTTAAGATTTTGTTCAACTTTTATACAGTTGTCATTTAGTTTCATGGTTAAGCTATCCAGTGTAATAACAATATCTAGCGACTTCCATACGCAGTCAGTATCTTCAACACCTGCATAGCAACACCCCACACTATTCACATGTTCAGACGCAGCCTGACAAATCTCAAAATCACCAATCTAAATGTGTTTATCTCATACAGTTTAGTCCTACAGTGAATTTGCGCAGTTGGTGCACAGCAGGTGGTCTTGCAGATTCTAAATGGGTGTGGAAATTGCCAGATATCGTAGTGTCACAGTTATAGCAATGGACTACTGCAAGATAACGCCTGATTCTATTAAATACTATCCCTTGTCAGCTTATCTATGGATAGCCACCCATATGTAGGCTCAAATAATATTGAGTTGTGCTATATTTATTAAAGAGTATGTTTATTGTCTCTCTGACGTTCGAGACAAATTAGATAAAAAAAATCAGTACTTGTTCATAATGATGACAGAATATAAAAGTTGTTTAAAGTAGTTTCACAGAATAGATTTATAATCTAGACGCAAACAATATTCCATTTGTCATATAAATAAGTAAACGCAGAAGCAAATGTTTAATAATAAAAAAACTGCATTAAATTATGACCTACCAATAATGAAAACATGGTTTTAATTTATGCATACACAAACCTCACTCGATCTTATTATCTTTTATCTACCTATATTTATATGTTATACACAAAGGTCAAAGATGAAATGAATATATATATCATTTAAATAAAGTCAAACAGCTGATTTCACACATGAAGTCTTATCAACTTATAAAGAAGTCGAAGCTAAAGATTATATAAAGAAGATAAACTTATATGTTGCATTCTTTGCTTGAATAAAAGCCTTAACACAAAATACACTCTGCCTAGATTATATATTGCTGAAAAATATTACACGTATTTTCTTTACTTTTTTACGTAATCATTAAATTACAGCTATAAACATTCAGTTATAACGTCATTTGAAGTCAGGTTTTTGTACATTTTCTACAAAACTGTGACGTAGCAGTCCCCCACTCCTCGACTTTAAAGCCTGTTATCTATTTCTTGTTAAATTGAAGTATAATAAAATACGTATCTAATATGTTTCTATTATCTGACTGTCTAAATTTTTATTTTTTTTATCTTGTTGTCATCCCTATTATATGGATTTTTAAATTCATAACTAAAGAATAATACAATATTTATCTTAATATTGGTAGAGACTCTATGCTGATTAAAAAAAAACTACTATCAACCAGCAAGAAAAGACAACACTAATTCCAATACTTTCAAATGTTAGCGGCCAGCATTGACTTAAATCTTTCGGAGAGTAAATCTATAATATGTAACGTGGACGGGCGTTACAGTACCTCTACAAATATTATAAAGTACCTGCTATTGAGCGGTCTTTTAAGGTCGCCGTTTCGTTTCTACAAGAAAGACTATGGTGTAACAGAAAAGTAAATAATAATGGTGAATAAATTTTTCACCTTATGTCCATTTGACTGTAGTGGAACGGCCGACTCAAATTTTGAATAAGGTGTATACCTAGTTTTTGAAAAGTAATGGCTTGTAGAATTAGGGCCCGTAGAGTCTCTACTTTTGACTCTACGAGATCTGATAACTTTTGACAGTGCGAGTCATATCGTCTCGACTTGGCAACACTTAACATAAAAATGTTTTTCATAGATTATATTATAAAAAAGCAATATATTCACCTACAGTAATATGGAATGTTAAAAAATTTAAGTCTTTTTGTATGGAATGTATAAATCCTAAAACCTGTCACTCCATATTCGAAATCGTAGCTGCGTAGATTAATAAACTATATATCTACAAAACGATCAACTTCACCTATAAAGTACTGTTTTTAGATACATAAAATATTTATTTATAGTAAATTAAAATAACGCAGTGATATTTAAAACGAAAAACCTTAAAAGATTTTATTCGCCATTCTCTTTTAAAAGACATCAACGCGTTACTTTTTTATGTAAATAAAATCTCTTCTCGGAACCTATCATCATTACATTATAGTAAGAAAACACACGAGACTGATTTGAATACTAAATTTGGAATTGATTAGTGTACTATAGTTAGTAACGATGATATTAAATAACATTCATTAGAATGTTTTCTAATTATAGGGAAAGCACCCTCGTTTTCGCGAGATCTCCACCTTTTCAGCGAGACTGATCTCGGTCGAAAAATAGACAAGATATTAACGAGATTGCACTCGAGCATAAGAATGTCTTACTCTAAGTGCAGCAGCGCGAATTTATGAGAGCCCGGAATGTCGAAAGGGAAAGATATACACTTTTACAATACTTTTGTTTTCGAAAAGGCCTTCTCAGCGGCTAAACCGTTTTATTAATATAATACTTGTTTGATATTAACAGAAAAGACTGATTGTTTATTTCATTTCGTTAAAGCTATTAAATTAAATTAACCACCGCGTACAAATAGAGCGAACGAATAGACAACGCACATCAAACGTACTAACATTTTCACACACGAATTCCTAAGGGTGGGTAGCATATCTCTCGGCATCATAAGATATCGAATAAAAAGATTTTGAAAATCATAAAAATAAAAAACATACCCGCCGAACATTGAACCTCGTAGTTGAAAAAAAGGCGGGAAACGTCGAGCTTCCATTTTCATAAATTTTATTATCAACATTTTAATAGAACGCTAAATAGAAATTTATTACAACAATATTATTTATTCCAAGACTGTTTCAAACGGCCTTCCGCAAAGGTCTATTCTTAGTCCTATCCAGTATAATGTTTATACGTACGATTTAGAAGATAATATTTGCTCATATAAATATATCGGAATACTTCAATACACCGATGATCTTTTATTGTATAACATTAGCCATTCCATTGAGGATTCGCTTCTTAAATTAACATCTGCTTTATCTAATTTAAAACGTTGGATGGATTCTAATGGGTTGCAACAGTCTGCTTCTAAAAGTGCTGTCGTAGTATATACGTGTAAAAATGAACTCCCTCCTATCTCCCCAAAAATATAATAATTCAGCTCTTCTTGATAAAGATCACGCGAAATTTTTGGCGGAACATTCAGGCACCCGCCATTATGAATATGTTGTTGATAAATCTGAACACTTATTAAATATGATAAAATGCCTTTCAGGTGTTGGATGGGGAGCTTATCCATATTGTTTAAAGTTGGTTTACAACGCCCTTATTAGAAGTATTTTAGATTACGGTACATTTTTGCTAGAACCAGGTAATGTTACAGCCCTTAGGAAGCTAAACAAAATTCAACATAAAGCTCTGAGGATAGTATTGGGAGCCATGAAGTCGAGCCCAATAAACGCTTTACAAATAGAATGCTGTGAACTCCCCCTACAACTAAGACGGCAATATATTTGTGACAAATTCTTTTTTTGTACTATTCAGTGTTCAAATTCCACTTCTTTCTAAAATTAAAGCAGTTTATGAAATATTTTCTACTTCAAGCTATTGGAGCCTCATTATTAGTTACAAGAAATTCATCTCTCTTTCTTCTCCTACTTATATATCAAATTACTTTCCTATTTTAATGTCGATTAAAAATCATTATTCATTATGACATAGTTGAAAAATCTGATGTAGACGCTAAATTAAACTTTAATGACTAACACCACATATTTTGTATGATAGTTCAGAAAGTAAACCTCCCTCCAGAATCATCTGTGTATTCAGGAAAATGTTTTGGCACATTCAAAGTTTTAGAATACAGTAAAATTATAAAACTTGAACCTGTTTTAATATTTTCAGTCTCAAAGAGCGCCTTAATTAAAATTCTATTCCCCCGTTATTTTTGACATCAGACAAAAAATACAAAAAAGTGTTGAAAATTAAGTACATGTAGAATAGGGATTGGGTAAAAAAAATGCAATTCTATTTAGTCCGTCAGTCAGATAAAAGAAAAATATTAGATACGTATTTTTTTTAGAAATAGCTTAGATAACAGGCATTAAAGTTGAGTAGTGGGGGCTCGCTACGTCACAGTTGAGTAGAAAACGTACTCTAAAGTGACGTCATGCGAAATTTCAACTCAATGTAACGCCGTAATTTTTTAATCACAAAAAAAAATAAAAAAATACTTGTTTAATATTTTTTAACACTCTACCTGACGGACAAACAAACAAAAATTTGTCATCATCCCTATTTGCCTGGGTTCCAGCTTATGTTAGTACAAAGGGTAACATTATTGCTGATAGACTTGCTAATGAGGCAGTATTATGTGAAGACGTTTTTAATTTTCAAAACGATTGTTCAGATTTATTTGTAAAATTACGAGAGAAATGGGAACAAATGTGGGAAGTCAGTAAATTGACACAAGGTAAATTTTATGCTCAGATACAAAACCATATTCCTTTGAAACCTTGATTTTTCTTAATGAACAAGCTAGAAACCTCTACGATTACTTGGTCATTCTTCTCCGCTTTCTCATCTAGCTAAAGTCCATATAATCAATGATCCTAGGTGTGACTGTGGATCAGATGAAGGAACAGTTGATCATTTTGTTTTCTCCTGTCCTAAATTCCAAAGATCCTCCCTCTGGCAAGACCTAACATCCCTTCGTGTTCTATTCTCGAATAACATAGCACACTTATGATCAAGCAATAGTTATTTCATATCTCATAATAATATAAAATTGTATACAATGATAATATATAAAGTATATTTAAGATTATAATACCATACATTCCTGATCCCATCCTTCCTTATCCGATTTCCTTCCTATTCGTTTCCTAAAATTTTTACTTGACATTGGTAAAATGCACAAGTCGTGACTGCCATATTAAAAACAATTTCGTAGTTTTCGATCTTGAAGGCGGTTAAAATTAAAGTTGTTATAGATTAGTAATTAATTACAAAGTTGTATTTGAAACTTGTCAATAATGAATTTTTTAACTAAGTTCTTTGGTCAAATTAAAAAATTTTAAGCGACTTTGTAACTGATTCTATCGATTTATTGATAGACAGACCTTGTGATTATATCGCATTTCTTAAGTAGTTATTTTAGGTCGTTATGCGTACTCTTAAACGAGTGGCAAGAACAAACAAGATAACTCTTCTGTTTATAGTTCGCGTGTACTAAACGTACCTATTTAACTTTATCTTTATATTGCGATGATAAGACAACTGATTTGGAGCGCAACAAATCTGACGCGGTGAAAAGATTGTCTTTCGAGAATATTTAATTCACATATGAATAAACAATAATATACATCAATTAGTAACGTTCAAATATGACGTTCTAATCATTGTTGTTTAATAATAGCTACTACATTTTTGTTGAAAACAGACACAGAAATAGTAGTAATATTGGTTGAAAACTTTTAGAACACTATTTTATATAAATTGTTCTTCGACAATACCTATATATATGACGTTGAATAATGTCAGAATATACGCGTCACTTATTTAGTCAGTAAATAAAAAGTTTTGCCTAAGGAACAAAGGACTTTGCCTAAGCAACAATAGGACTTGATGGTACAAATAAAAATACATCATAATTTTCGTATATTAATGAATCCAGAAAATTAAAGAATTCATGGGATGGTTTACAACGAATAAGACACATACTTTTGCAGTCATTCATTCGCCGTTTTTG